ACTGCAAATTTCCAATGTCGTGATAAATATGTTTTACCAATTTTGGGCATAACTCAAGATTCTATGACAAAAGAATATGCAATAGTTTTACGATATATGAAAAATGGAAATTTGAGAGATTTTCTTAAACAAAACAAATCATTACCTTGGATTGAACGATTATGGTTATTGAATTCTTTTATCAAGGGATTGACAGTCATTCACAGTAAAGGATTTGTCCATCGTGATATTCATCCTGGTAATCTTATGATAACTGAAATATATAATAATTCTAAATATAAGTTCATAAGATTGGGAGATTTAGGATTATGTAGATTAGCAAATGAAACCTCATCATCTGGAGCATATGGTGTATTACCATATATTGCACCTGAGGTATTGAATAAATATCAGTATTCACAAGCTTCAGATATTTATAGTGTTGGAATTATTATGTGGGTAATTTTAACAGGAAAAATACCATTTTCCAATAGAGCATATGACTCAGAATTAGCAGCTGATATTTTCAATGGACTTCGACCAAAAATTAGTAAAGACACACCTCAATGTTATATAAATTTAATGAAAAAATGTTGGCACGAAGATCCAGCTAAACGTCCAAGTGCTTTATTCATTTATTTTGCATCGGAAAAATGGATTGAAGATTTTCTGTATGACCAAAAAACAAAAGATTCACTTATGTTTTTAAATGCAGATCAAAAAATACAAGAAGGAAATGAAGATGAAGATGAAGATTTATCTTCTGATGAAGCAACTCATCCTGAAGCATACATTACAAGTAGACCTATACCTTCTGTTGATTATAACATAGATAATCTGGTTGCTAGATTAAAATTGTTCAACAATATATCAATCTAACAATCTTTTTTTTTTTTTAAATCCATAAGGTAATTTGGGTTTTAAATTTAATTTTCTTAATTTATTAGCTATTTTTAGATTATGAATTTATGTAATTTATCCCATTTTGACTGTTTTATATTATTTTGAAAATTCTAGTTATTATTATTTCTATATGAATTACACGATGTATTTTTATGAAAATAAATAAATACTATTATGTTTTTTACTTGCTGTCAAAATTTTTGAATTCAATGCATTGTGCACAATATATTGTAAAGGTTATATTTTATAAATATTTGTGATTTTTTAATTCCTCCGTAAACAATTCCACAATGGGGTATAAATACTAGATTTGTAATTTGTACACCATATTACAAATTACACATTTATACAGTGTGCGAGAAGGGGTGTTTAACTATATTAAAACGAAAAAAATCCGATTAAAATTTATAAAACTAAAGAGATCTGTGTTACAGTTATGGCAACGCGTTTTGTTCTTTGTTGTTTGTGCACAACTTGATTTCCTAATATAAAAAAACCTAGAATAATGTCATTATAAATATTCTTCCTCTTCAATAATAATTTTAATAATAAATTAACAAAATATAATCGATGAACTAATTGAGAAGGTATATTTTAATAAGTTTCACAAGTAATTCTTCTCTTTCTCATAACCATTATTAAATTTACTTACTTCTTCGATTTATAGTTGTAATGATTTCGTAAGAAACTCCAAAGCCCATTTTACCATTAGGGGAAGCCTATT